GTCCAGCAGGATTCGGGTACGCACCCCGTTTACCTCCCCTTCCACCAGCGACGTGGCCCCCGTGATCCCCGCCACCAGCTCCCGCAGCCAGTCGCCGGGAGTCACCGTTTCCGTGGGCGTTGTTGCTGGAACCTGTGTGGAGATCACTCGCTCGCCATTATTCTCATTATCGTCTATTTGTATCGGGACCGCGTCGATTGCACCCCTAGTTGGTCCGCTCACTAGGAGGCGTTGGAGTTTAACCCCCGCGCCTGCCTAGCTCGGGTGATTTCAGGACAGTCTCTCACTAGATGCCCTCGGCGATCGCACATATAACATGCCCGGGGAGGGGGGGCGGTTCCGTAGCGGGTCCCCTGTCCGCTCCCTCCCCCCCCATTACGCCGCTGTCCACCCTCTGCCTCTAGTCGGGCTACCCTCCCAGATAACCCTCCCACCGTGGCGCGTAGGTCCCCCATTTCGGATCGGATGGTCTCGACGGAGGATTGCAGTTGGGTCATATTTTTATTCGTTTCCTCGCGTACCTGGGTTACCCTCTCACCTACTTGGTTTACCTTGTTGTCTATCTGGGTTACCTGGCCGGAGACATCCTTTATACCCGTTTGTATACCGGCAACCCATCCCGGAGTTGTCTCGCGGGACACTGGAGGCTCTCTTTCCCGGCCCCTTACCGTCCTCGCGAGCTCCTGTTCCTCCTCCTCGTCTTCCGAGAGCAGGCTCGCAATGGCGCGCTCTCGTCCCAGCCCCCGGAGCTGCGCGCGTTCGCTGTGAATTCTTTCACACTTACGTGCGCGCTCGACAAGGGCGTTAAAGGGAAGACGTGGGCAGCTCATGTCTGGCTGCCACCACGCCGTGCGAGACAGGTACCGCTGGATTTTCTTGGCGGCCAGTTCCTCAATAACATCAGTTGAGTACCCCGGGCGTGCGATCTTTGTTAACTCGCGCACATCCTCGGCGTAATCACGTAGATCTTCGCCAGGTTGGCGCCGGCGCGCCTCTAAGGCCGATTTTGCTTCCTCCTCGTCACGCGTGCCAAACCGCTGATCGAGTCGGCGCATCAGCTCCTCTAGCTGTGTCTGTGCGCTCGCGGGTAACGCTTCTACAAAATCGGCTGCCCGCCCATCAAGATTCATATTAAGTTGACGTACTGCCTGCGCGTCCGTCCATCCATTAATTTCCTTGGCCCCTAAGAGATTGCGGGCGAATGCCTTCCACGAAGGGGCCCCCCGGCCGGTAAATATTAGTCTTATTTTAGCGTGAGGTAACGCGGGGGTCCGTACCGCTTCCGACACCAATTTGTGGGGGTCGCTAGCCCCCGAGATCCCTCCCTCGATAATGCTAACGGCCGGGCTAGCATCATCAATCGCCCCCCCGCTGCTAAGCGAACCGCTGCTAAGTTCCTCACCCATGGGGTGGGAGCCGTCGCCCGAGGATTCCACTCCACCGCGGGTCCGCGTAGCAGGCATGGTTAATTACGTACGCGCACACCCACACACACAGCTCTGTACGGCACTCACTCTTGCGCTTCTCTGCGCCGCGCTGGCCGCTCACGTTACAATCGCGCACCTGGGGTACGCCGATTACGCACGCCGCGAGCTTACGCACACACAGTACCACACGCGTTCCCACACGCAACCCGCGCGCTCAGCTCCGCGCAGCGCTCACTCCCGTGGCGAACCACTGTGCACACAGCGCACCCACACGCTCACACTGCACGACAAGATCACGCGAGACCACGCTTCGCTATTAATGATTTATTATATGCCACCTGCGAATTGATGTTGAATCAGTGAGTCGACGAGGCTGGCCTATTCCACTAAACCTGTACCTATTCCCTATTTATCGGCTATGATTCTAATTCCCCTTCTTACTCACTGTTAAGTGTCCACGGCGGTCCGCTGATCCTTCTGTTAACCGCGTGCCTCGGTGCGTCGCACGGACGTCCGGGTCGCTGGCTCGAGCTGCGTCTGGTCGCCTGGCGCTGGAGTAAGAGAGCGATTTCCCCTCTGCGCTCCTCTATTTATCCTCCCTACCTCCCAAAGGGGATGCTGCGCTGAACAATGGGCTCGTGCACCCCAAGCCCGCGCACCGCAGTCCCCAGGCGCTGTTGATATGCTAATCAGTGTGCTGCGTGCAAGGCGTAAATCCTAATTACTCCCTTACCCTTCCTACCAATGGGGCTTGCGCGCTCAAGCGCAATTATCCCAACCCTCCATGACTATGCGCAACAGCCCCTGTGACCCCGCTATTCATGCTGTCCCGTGCCTCCCCTGCTCGCCCCGTCGACCCGTGGGAGTGTGTGTGGGGGGAAATGCGCCTCAACCGCGGTGGCCGAATGCCCCACGCCACGACCTACCATATTAAGGCCGGCCGCAGCGCCGCGGTGCCACGTAGCACGGGGAGGTCATCCAATTCCCTGATCGCCGGAAACCGTGAGAATTAATCCCGATAAGGGTCTCTCGGATAAAAACCGGTCGATCAGGTGACCTTCCCTTCCAGCTCTATGGGGGGGGGGGGGTGCGTGCGGGTGTGTGCTTATGTGGGGCGGGTGATGGGGGGCAGTGCGGTGGGGGAAGCCGGGCGGCTCCCTGGTTCGGCAGAGCGGCCCCGTCGTTGTGGCACCACACAACCGGCCTAAACAAGTCCATCCCAGCTTTGTGTAGTCAAGCTTGAGTCGAGCCATTTTAGCCTGACTATAATAGCCCAGCGAAACTTAGCCTAGCCTACCGAAATTCTATCTAGCTTTTCTCACCCTACACTAGCCTCGCTTCCCTTTGCCTAGTCTAACCCAGCATAGACTCTCCACAAAGTCGTGCTACTCATTTTATCGACCCTTGAGAGATGATGATGATCGTGATGGGGTCGAGTTAACTCCCGGTTGGTTTTTGAATTCACGACATCACAATGATATTTTATTTTACCAGGTAGAGCCCACCGAACTGTATAGTTCTTTTTCAGAAGCTACTTGACCACAAATGATAGCTCAATAAAGTGGCTTATCATGTGGACATTTATAGCAGCTAAATACTCTAAAACGCATATTTATAAATGAGGAAGGAATCCACATGACCATGGGGAGAACATGCAAACTCCAAATATACAGGCGTCCGGGTCGGGTTTGAACCCACGACCTCCTGTATACCGGACGAGGTAGTTAACATCTCGCCACCATGGCGCCCCAATTGTAAGGTGACCTCTCTGACCACAGCAACAGGCAGCCATGTGGGGACAACCGTGAGCCAAAATTATCACTGCCCAAGTCACGTTCCAGTGGTGATTCAATTACTTCTCTCGACAGCGTGCCTGGTCGAGGGCTATAAAAAACCCATCTGGACAGGCGATCTAACAATATCCATTTTTCTGTGAAAGCCCCACTGAGTCTCATGACTTGAGGACGATCCTACGTTGGAATGTTTATCCATTTTCTTTTCTAAACCCTTTCCATCTAAGGTCTAAAGTGTTTTATGCATAAGCTCGGTCATCCATCTCGAATGGTGGAGCATGATGACGCCCTTCAAGGTGATCCAATATGAAGCTTAAGTGTAAAGGTGTGTTGCGATCAGGAACTTGCACTATTGAAAACCCGCTAAATTGATCACGGGGTTTTCCAAAAATAGAAGACAACACAGTAAAAAGCACTATTAGCAAATATGCCATCTCATTTTGTGCTTAGGGCTACCTGTTAGAAATATACAAATGCAATTTGCACTGCAGGCTACCCATTGGCTTTCATACTGCCGCTTACAGACTCCTGAAGACAAACGCATGTTTGTGAGTGTGCCTTCATGCTACAAAATTCAGATAAGCTAGTTTGCCTACATTTGATTTATTAGCTTTATTTTAATGAGCACAGAGTGGTAGCGCAGTGCGCACTGTGTTCTGAACCCATTAGCCATCGGCCGATGGAAAGAAGCAGCAATGATGAGGTGCAGTGGCATCAAGAGCATTGGCCACGTTGACCTCTTGACCTTGGTGAGAGCCAGTCTCCACGTAGTACAATAACCACCGTTTACTTCTCATGAGTGGTGATTCTTCCGTGTTTTATTCCTGGAACAAACTCTCACTGCGCATGAAACAATCATCTTCACTGACCTGCTTACAATCCTCCCTTAAGACCCATCTGTTCTCCCTTTCCTATCTTACTGCTACTCCCTGCTCCGGCCCCCAGCTACGACCAGGCCTACCCCAAACCCCTGTCACTACCTGCACCACAACCCCTACTTAACCGCACCCAACTGTCCTTACTGTCGCCATAACTACACCGCGGCTTTTAATAACCCCATTCTTTATTTTGACCACTTGTCTAATGTACAATTGTATCAGTATTGTAAAGCGCCTTAGACTAAGGCGCTATCTAACTCTACATATAAGATGATAAAAAAACAATATAAGATGAGATCATCGTGATGGTAATGATGATGATGGCTATAGTTGACTTTTGAGTTGTGATTAAAAGCAACACTTGGCTGGATGTGTTTGCACATGTGTATGTATACACAGTATTTATATATACATGTGATTGTGTGTGTGTGTATATATGGGGAGAGGTGGCAGAGTGGATAGCGCCCTGCACCATGAACCCAGCATCCCGAGTTCAATTACCAATCACAGCCAACACCAGTGACAATGATCTGAATCGGTCCTGGGCCTCCCATAGGTTGACTCAGTCTTAAATAAGTACCTGGTGGGGTGTAACACATTCCTTCGAAGTGGGCAGGTAGGAACTTGGTTGGACGGCGCATTCGTGCGATCCGTGTCGCGCGGCGCAAGCTGTGTGGGGCGTCGCGTCACGTGGTGCCGAGCCCGCCCGAAGCGCTCTATGAAATACAAATCGAGGACGTGGCTATGCACGACAGACAGACAAATAATCCCTGGTGGTGTGCCAGTCTTGATAGGTGCTCGCTAACAGCTCTTGCCCAAACAGTCTGTGAAGGCTATACGGGTGGGGGGGGTCTTTGTATTTGTGTGCACGTTAACATTAATTTGAGTTCTGTCCCACACAGGGGTGATCCCTCCAAAGTCCAGATCAGCATCGCCATCACTGCAGGATACCTGTTCTCAGGTGAGGCCCTACACACACGCACCGAAGCCACACAGACCACACATAAATCGCACATACACCATCCCTCACATTTACACTAACCCTACCACGATTACTCTGATGCCAACTCTCAATTTAGCCACGACTCTTAACGCCGATCGTAAACTTTAATCATAACGCTATTGTTCATACTAAAGCTAACCGTGGCCCTAAGACTAACATGAATCATAGCCTAACCATAATGCCTACTTTTAAATCTACATCTCACCACAATACTAACACGAACTATTTCCATAACCCGAATGCCATTTTTAGCCCTAAACCTCCCACTACCATGTACCATAAACCTAAAGATAACTCTAATACTAATCCTCACCCTTACCAAAACATTTACTCCAACTATAGTACCCCAGGCCGTTTCTGGTGCCCGTTTATCCCTGTGCTCAAGTACCCATGTGCCCCTGTGCTCATGTACCCATGTGCTGCCCCTGTGCACTCCCTCAGATCTGCTGGTGATCTTCGCCTACTGGCGCCTAGTGGGGGACAAGCTCTTTGTGCTGCACCACGCCGTCGCCCTCTCCTCCTGCTACTACGTGCTGGTAAGCCTGCCCAGGGCCAATAAAATACAAATATCCCCCGTGTAGCCTTAATAGGCTGTTGGGGGAAGTGCTGTTAGCGAGCACCTACGAAGGCCGGCACGGCACACGAGGGGGTGAGTGCCCAGCACCACGCCCGGACGCCTTCGTCCCCAAGTGGCGATATTTACACACCACAACAGGTACTCATTTAAGGCTGAGTCGACCCAGGGGAGGCCCATGATAGGTTCAGATAATCGTCACTGGTGTTGGCCGCGAGTGGAAATCGAACTCGGGTGGCTGGGTTCTTAGCGCAGCGTGTTCACCACTGCGCCACTGCCCCCCACTACTGTGTTGGCCTGGGCCAACACGGTACCACCCAGTATGCCGCGGTACCACCTGGGAACACGCAGTACCACACACTACCTTAAAGTGCCACACAGGTACTATGCCTTATTACACATCGGCATACTAGACGGCACGGTGCCACATGGAACCATAGAATACTACACAGTGCCTTAGAACACCTATCTTGTTCCAAATTCCCATAAAACAGGTATATAGTACAATACTGCGTAGCGGTGCATATAGTGGTTAGCTCACTGTGACTGATGAATGATATCTGAACCAGGCCCCCACCCCTTCATCAGCCTGCATTGACCAGCACGGTGAAGTATGGTCAAACAACCCCCATGACTGACAACCGTGTGGAGAGGGCTTTGTTATGATTTGCCACGGCCCTGACAAAGTCAGTTATTATTTAGTGCGATAAATGTCACAAAGTGCCATGCGATAACAAACCAATATACAATACCTTAAAGATACAATGCATCACAATGAAATAAACCACACAATGCAATAAAAATGTTCTGGCTCTCAAAATAGGAATATGGAATATCCACCACAATCTCCACTCGGGGTCTGCCTACTAAGATGAGCACCGCTCCACTCTCGTTGATGTGGAGAGAAACCTGTATCTTGTTGGAGGAATCTGCCACACAACTGTGAGGCTTTCCCGGATAAGGGGTGAATATATTCTGCATGATTAGCATTCATATAATTCTCCTTTCTTTTGTGCGTGGTTTTAGCAAGACGGTGTTTTGGCCTACTTTGCAAACTTCCGACAGATGGCAGAGCTGTCTACGCCCTTCGTAAACCAAAGGTAACGACACCACACGCCTCTCAGTGTACAGAAAGATACAATCCACGACTCAAACGGGCCCATATTTCTTTATCAAAAATGCATCTGCATCGGTGAAATAAAATGGTGCCGATTCAACCGCGCAAATTCCACAATAATCGTTAGCGTCGTGACTCAAGCCTGACTCTGCTAATTAGGCACTTCATGTCAAAATCGGTCCAGAGTCTGGTTGTGCTGGGTCACTTCTGCTGATATGATGCACTCACGGAAGGCCGTGGGGACGATCGGTTGTGTAAAAAAAAGTTTGATATTTTACGTGAAGAGATTAATACACGATGGATACGTAGTGTCTGCTTATCGGTTTTGTCTCAAATCTCAGCTCGTTGATAACATGATTTATTTATGATTTAAATTTATATTTTGCACTCTGGACTCTATGTAGTAAAGTGATCCAAAATATAGTTTACCAAGATCGTCTTTTACCAATATGTGGGTGAACTTTTTGGCTCCCCTGTAAGTACATGCTTTGAGAAAGTGTTAATGTGGCAAGATTGTGTTGATGGTCTCGTATTTTTTAAGGTTTTAGGATTGTTCAACATCGTTTTCAAACGGGTGCACACACAGGGTGGTCTCTTACCATCCCATCTCAATTTCAGAAACATTGTGTTAATGTTGCCTATCTGATAAGAGGTTTTCATCAGCATTTCAGTGAGATATCACTCACGGGCAAAGGAAAATAAGGGAAGGGTCTTGAGCAAGGGCAGGGAGTCGACAGTACTGGTGGCGAGTGTGAAAGGAGTCGCAGACGATAGGTGCAGCAGAGGGGATCGTGCGACCTCTCACTCACTTGAAGGTCGCTTGGAGGCTTCGACAAAAAACCCTTGGTTTCTGGAGCTAGAGTGTGTGGAGGAGAGTAGAGAGAGACTTGAGAGAGAAAATTGAGGCAGGGGTGAGCTCATGGAGGAGTACTCTTAGGTTTTTTTGGTAAAGTCACGTAGGTTAAAAATAAAAATAAATAATAATAAAAATAATAGAAAAAAACCTAAGAGTATGAATCCTTGCCGTCACAAAAGCTTCAAATCTCGAACTCACGGAGGAGCTTCATTCCGGCCACACCCTCCGCGCTGCAAAATAACCATTTGGACCTGAACGCCGTCGATAATCCCTCATTGTTCCTTCCCCTCTGCCGGGCTCCAGGTGGTTCCTGGAGGTGCTCGGCTACCAGAAGTCGTCGCGCGCCTACGTGTGGAATGGCCTCGCAATGTCCGCGTCGTTCTTCCTGGCGCGCGTCGCCACCATGCCCGTGTACTACACGCGCACGCTCAGCTGGCTGGGCACCGAGGCCGAGGCCCGCCTCGCCTGGGGCCACCGCCTCGCCTGGTGGCTCCCCAGCATCACGCTCGACCTCATGAATATCGTGTGGATGAAGAAGATCGCCCGCGGGTGCTACCGCGGCCTGCGCCACACCCTCGGGAAGGACTCGCGGCCGAAAGTAACGATGGAGGCCGCCAAGCGAACGCCAGAATCTTTGGCAAACGGGAAGACCGACTGACCCGACCGACTGACCGACCGACTTCGCGCATCCGTCTGGGTTCTTAATTACTATTCAAAAATACTGTTTGATTTTTATCCAATCCTATTTTTGGGTCAACGTTATTTTTGTACAGAATACTTGGGTGTTTTTTTTTTTCTTCTTCTTCTTCAGAGGAGGCGACAATGTCTGAAATCGCCCCCGAAAGTTATAAATGGTCGCGAGATGCGGGAATGGGCTAACGGGGAGATTGGTAACCAACAGCTCCATCTCCATGCACTCCACCAACCCCTCACTTCCGAGTCACTCCATTACGGGGGCTTGCCTCATCATGGCCAGCACACCCTGGCAACGTTTTGAATTTGAACCCGTTATGTAGGTCAGTTGATCTTTATTGGGTAAACTAAGCGCTCTGTTGATGAGCGTTCTTTACGAGATGCCTTTTTACACTCCCGGGGTCACGTTTAAATCGCGAAGCACAACCGTGCTGAAGCACTAACCAGAACGATTGTATTGGTAGACACGCCCAATATGTCCGAATGACGGGGGCGCGGCCACAACCTTTGTGAGCTTCGACACGGTTATCCTGGTTTTTCAGACAAAAAGCCCATGCCTTAATGCGCCCCCTTGTTAAGATGCGATGCAATTAGAAAAAAAAACAGCATCTACACACCATTGAGTTTCAAGATGCCACACTTCAAATGCGAAAAGCAGGTGCAGCGCTGAATTAAAAATACACAGCCCGGGGGGGGGGGGGGGTGGTGGGAGGGCACACCACCCACACTCAGCGTCTACGCATAGTGTGACGGTGCTCAGGGTGGGGGGGCCTGTGGGCCCCCAGACCAGAATAATTCACTTAATCAGTTCCAACTTGTCAGTCCCATGTCTCCTTTGCCTGTCCTGTGGTCGGTGTTTTTGTAAAATCTCACGATTCCAGCTGTCTTTTGAGCTGGCTGTATTACCCGCCCCTTTATCTTGCCGTGCGATTTAATTGCTTGCCGGTCCCTGCCGTACAAAGCGCTTTACACCCTCTTTGGCACCCTTTGCGTGAGACTGGAGACTAATTGTCCACCTTTATCTTCTCACCTAATTTCACGGATCAGTTTTGTTACGTTAAAGTGTTAACCGTTCACTGGTAACCATTTACCATTCTCCGTTGAGAGCTGCCGATGGTGATTGGTTCACAGTATAGTATAGTCTAAACCTTTCGTAAACAGCTTTTCATTGTTTTGTCGCTAACCTATCCTTAAAGGACCACTCCTACATTCTCGTGTCCATCTTCTGGCTTGGGGTCATCCACTTCGGTTACCAACCTCTGGGTGCCAATTCATTGCCCTTCTTGGTAACCCCCACCCTCCCTTGTGCTGACAAATATGGCAGGAGCACCACGCCAAACACAGATTCAACTCTATTGGTGTTGTAAAACAATGGGAACTCAAAAAGCTTCATTGCTTTGGGTGGTACCATTTTCAACTCTGGTCCATAAACTGTAACCCAGTCGGCCAAACCTCCGATGGCAAGCGCAGAGTCTGGCCCCAAGAAGGTTCCGGATGTGAGCACTGCTTTATTTAGGTTTTTAACATTCACCAATTCGTCGATTCTAATTGATTCTTACACTGAAAATACATGCATCATATAATGTGTGCAAGAAATTTTTTCTAATCCATTAATGTGGTGTGCGATTTATTTTGTGGTCAGCCTACAGTTTCATGGAAATATTGTGGCCACTGTCACACAAGTTGCAATTGTGTATTTCCTCATGAATTACAATCGTAATGTAGTTGTCATTGTTCAACTTAAAATGCTGCTGTCGTTTATGCCAGTTCTCGCCACTCTAGAGTCTCTATGTACGAAATGGGAGAAAATATTATTTGTGATTGGATTCATCACTTGGAACAATGATCATTCGTAGAATTGTGGCAGGGGTGATGTGTTCCTTAGTCTAGTTTTTGGTGTCGGTCGCATGGGCTGTGACTGACCCAGCCTTCAAATGTCTTGCTTTATCATTTTGCTAACTCGCAATAACCTGCTGTGTGTGCGCGAGTAGTTCAACTCAATCCGTCACATGTCGAAAGCAGCGGTGGTGGTGTGTGTTTGATTTAGCTCCGCTTATGCTGTGATGCCCAACTTGGAGCTTCTCTCTCCACCTCGCCTTGTTCCCCCACCCCTCTGACTCCCCCCCCCCCCCCCCCCCCAGCTGCAGTGGGGCGTTGTTACTGACAATCAAATCACCTATTTATTGATGTTGACGTATTAAGTTTTCAATTCCTGTACAATGGGTACGAGAGTTCTATACTTGGGGGTTTGGGTAATGTGGAAGGCAGCCTTGGCAACACACGTTTGATGTTTACAGGGCGGCAACAGAGACCCGCCGTTTGGTGTCTCTTGATGGGATAAAGGCTCGTCAGCCCTGTCAATGGACCTATCAGACTGTGACATCATATTCTGTTCAGATTCCCGGCCTGTTTGATCACATGCTGATCTCACCAGAAAGTGATGCCACAGGAAGAGCCGCTTGCTCCAGGAAGTCGAGGTGCTGATCACCCTGCCATCACCCGATTCTTCTGCGGGTTTTGACGGGATGCCTTGGGGCGATGATGAAGAAAACGAGCGCTGAACTGAACGGGCGACTCTCTGCGGTCACAGTTACTCTGTGAGAATTGCGTTGTGCGGGGCCGATCTTTAAGGTCTGCAAGAGACCAAGCGCCGACTGTCCGAGTCTGACCTTGTGCGGGGTCGTGTGAGTAGATTAGTTTGTGCAACTGTTTTGTCTGACGTGCGTGTCTGTGTGTGTGCGCGCACGCCACGTGTGCAAAGCACCAATAATACACTCGTCGGGCCCATTCCATTCCGCCTGCTGCCCCCTACAACCATAGTGCCTTAACACTTACGACACGGGTACTCTTACAAGCAGGGTACACGCGCTGCTAGAACAATTGGTGGCACGTTCCAGTGAACATGGACTGTACCATTTTGTATGCGGTGGGTGCCTCAATGTGCGTGACGTTTAATTTTGGACCGAAACATTTTTGCACCGAGACTGGGGTGGTAGTAGTGGTGGTGGTGGCTGCAGCAGTGGTGCGAAAGCACGTTGTGTTTTTAAGACGACCAAGCCAATAAAACAAAACTCTTGTCTAGGACTGTGTCTCCAGGGCTCTCCGATAAAAGTTTGCAGCTTCCAATGGTGATAAAAACAAAACAATAACTTGAAAGTTATGTTAATGAGCCCCCCATCATTGTACTGCTCCATTGACGTACTTGCAGTCGGTGATGCCGAACATTCTAATACATCGCTGTCGAGATGTCAGTAGAGGGCGCTATGACACAGTATTTTATTTGAATGTTAAAGCTTAAAAATTCGTATCGGAGGAGACACCCAGCCTTGGCAACAGCTGGACAGTTGCACAAAACGGGCAACCTTAGTCACATGTTCACATTCATCACCATCTAAGCGTGGATTAAAAAGTTCGTCTGACTACATCCGATACCAACTACCGTATAGTCCCTAATCTGTTGACAAACCTCGCCCAAGTGAAATACAATTGATTATCCACATAATTAAAGTGTTCAAAATGTACATCCGAAATATGGAACTGCCCAGCTGTTTGAGTTTTTTTTTGGTTTGCGTCGCTTGACACCTGAGCGTGATGCGTCCCTGCGTCAGTGCCACCGTGTCATGCTGTGACCAGATGCCAGCCCCACCTCGCATCCACCTTCCTGCTCCTCTGTGTGCCGCTTCGCTTGTGCCTTTTCTGCTCACGTGTTATGGACAACTTTTCAGCCAAGTGAAATCAAATGTATTAACAATGAGTCACTTAAAAGCAACCAGCCATGACTGCAGCAGTGGTTGCGGTGGTGATGGTATTTTGTGAACGTTCCATCCCCACGATGTGAATGCTCTCCAACGCTCACGGTCAACAGGTCACCACGGCTGGTGCCACCACAAGGTCAACAGCTTAAGCCACTGAGGCCACCGCACTTCACTGATGCTTCCTTCTGTCGGTTCTTACCCAATTGACACCCCCACGTGGGTGACGATAAATGCTTGTGACGGATCACACACTTGCTATGGACTGGTTTCAACTTTTAAATAAGGTAGGAGGCCAAGTTCCATGTCAAAAGGTTTTGATCAAACGAGCGCAGGGTGGTGGCGCTCATCTCGAGATGGCCCTGAACCAGTGGTGTAAATTCCACATTCCCATGGTTGGGGACAGTTATCCACGCAACCGCTGTTAAATAATTACCTCTGTTCAGAGTACTTTGTGGTTATTTATTATCGTCACGATCAGGGCAAAAGCTGTATTTTGAGTGTGATGTTTAGACATGTCTTAAACTGTGGTTCTCATATTGTAGTTACGTTGACTAATTTCTTAGTTCGCTCCAGTGATTATATGTCAATCGTGGCTAATCAAAGTTAGGCAGGACTTTACCTGACCGCAACGACCCCTCCTGCAAACAATGGTATAGCCCTTTGATTGCCAGGCGGTACATACAATCAATGAACGCTGGTGACAGTGGAGAGCTGTATCATGTTTAATGGTGCGGCGGTTCGATCAGCCTTCTTGGAGGTTCAAGTTGGTGTTTATGTCATGGAAACTTATCCAATCATTTTGGCTCAGGCGGGGGAGTGTTTCCAATACTCCATGGTTCGGTGTGTTTCGTGTTTGCCAAGTCACAAGATCTGTGTTTTGTGTTGAGAATTTGCGATCACGTTAATTGGACTGGACAAGATTGACACATGGAATGGCACACACGGATGTGCATGGGGTGGCTGGAGTTTAGAAAACAAGTGCAGACACACCTTTAATAACCTGACCCTAAATAAGGAACATTTTGGAGAATCCGGAGATTTAAGGAGATGGGTGTGGGTGATGCACTTGGATGGGTGCAACCGTTAGTGTGCAACCCAGCCCCTAAACCTCGTGTCACTTCCTCACTTTGCTTCCCAACGCCAACTGTGGACAAGACCCCATCCCATTTTAATTAAAGGTCTGAGCGTGAATCTGTGAAGTCGTGCGAGTCGTCATTCCAACCGGGCACGTCCGAGTGTTATTCTGCTCGTACGAGCAGTCGGGCGACGCCGAGGTATACGCCACGAGAAGACGCAATGGCCCAATGTGGAGATGAAGTGATGGCATCGGCCCATGTGCAGGTGGAATATCGCATCGCAGGACCGAGAGTTTGCGACTGCTTGGGTGGTCTTTTTACAGCGGTAGATTGATGGATTGTTGTTGATGATGACATGTTCATAAAACAAAAATGACATTTACTCAATCTTGATGTGAATCTTGATTTGAAGCTTTCGTGACTGCAGGAATCCATACTCTTTGGTTCTTTCGGTAAAGTCACGTAGGTAATAAAATAAAATATCACGTTTCGATTGCAACACAAGTGGTCGTCCTCAGGCGGAAAAAATATAATCCAGCAGTGGAACTGCTGAACCAGCGCTCATTTACTATAAATATTAAGATAAAAATAGGCGTTCATAAGAGAGTACTTGTTCAACCGTTTGCCAGTACCATTGTTGGCTGAAGGCCTCCCCACACTGTCGGTCACTGGAGTTGTTTGGCCCGCATGAGTGGTGATGCTGCAATGGGCCGATTGGGTCGCGTCTCCAACTCTCTCCGTCTCTGGCCGCGTGACCTCGTCGGCGTCGATGGTGAAGATTCTGGCACGTGCCACAGTTCTTCGTGCAGGAAAGTGTTACCGAGGCTCAGTTGCCCTCCCCCGGCTGGGCACTTGCTACCGATAAAACCCGGTGGTTCAAATCTGAAATGCCGATGCAGAATGAGTCACGAGGCTTCGCTCCGGATGACAATTGCACTTCCAAATTCGGAAATGTTGAACTTATTTCGCACCGTATTTTAGCCAACCATGCGAATTGGGGGTATGTGATGGCAGCCTCCGGTCGACAGCGTGTTACAATCACACAGCCACATGCCGTTGCCGGGCTAACGGATACTCGTGTATCTCAACTTCATTCTAGATGATAGATTTGAAGCTTTCGTGACTGCAAGGATTCATACTCTTAGGTTTTTTTCGGTAAAGTCACGTAGGTAAAAATAAAAAATGAAATAGAAATAATAGAAATAAAATAATAAAAATCACGACGTTTCGGAGGCAACACAAGTGTCCGTCATCAGGTGGGACCGTCACAGCCAGATTAGCTGCATCAAGTGAGGCAATGATTCAAGTTAAGGGGGGAGGGGCTTATCTGAATGTGGTAGCCAATGAATGGAACGTGTTGGGGGGGGTGGGCGGGGCTAAGAGAACAATAGGTGCACATCAGAGACATGACGTTTCGTTTCCCCAATGTAACAATCTCAACTTCATATTTTTTCACTCCTTAAGGCATTCCAGTTCACCAGTGGAGGTGTAGCACGCATCATCTCTTGCTCTCCGGCTCTCTCTCTCTCGGCTTGCCTTTCTCTTCCTGCTCGTGTGTTATTCTGCACCGTACTTCTCTCAGACACATCAGCATCTTCTGCACCTCCGATTAGCACGAATGGCTCCGTACGGTGGGAAAGAAGTTCAACATCCGTAAATCCGTGCCTCTTCGTCTTTCCTGCATCATCCTCACGTATATTTCACTCTGCTGCTTTCTTTTCCGTTTCCTTCATCTTTCTTGGGTACATGCTGTACCCCCCCGCCCCTCTCTCCATCATCTTTGTCCATAAAACCATCTCTATTTCTCCTCTCGCCCTTCTCTGTCACTCCTACATCATCCTCCTCTTGACAATTTCTCTGCTTCTTGCAATAGACATGTCGTCACACATCACTCATTCTACAAATTAGCTGTTTCCCGTTCAATCCTTGCCTCGAAAGACGTTTGCCCTACCCTTTGAAGGCATGTGCGTTACAAGCAAGAGACTGTAAAGTTTTGTAACGATTAGGAAGGCTTGTGGCCAGCGTACGTCAATTAGAACTGCAGTTCAATAACGTTGAAGAAATCTAGATTCGTGCATAAAGATAAAGAACGTGTGCGGCTCGGTACGAATTAATCGATATCAATGTAGTTCGAGTTATCGTCATCGTGTGTAGCAGCAACCGTTATCGTCATCAGCAGTGACATCGGCACCATCAGTCACAGCGGAACCATCGACAGCAGAACCAGTTTTTTTGGGGGGGGTAGATCGCGTAATTGTCGCGAAAACCCGCCACCACCAACTCGTAATGGTTGTCACGTAAACAGAACTTGTCAATTCGTTACTAGTTGGGTTTTAATGACACATTTCAATATTTACGCGATCCAACCCAAAAAAACACCTCTTATGGATATTGGTCGTGAAAGCCTGAACATGTCATCGTGAATAGCGGCAGCACTCATCACCACCACCAATGGGCCCGCTGTGCACGATCATCAGTCTATCGTTAGCTGAATACGGTATTTGGTGTGCTACGAAGACCCATTGCCAACAATATCGCCGATTATAGATTTCCCTAAGGCGGTGTTATTGACTAACGCGAGGCGTTTTGTATCGTTAGAGGTCACTATGGTCGCAGTTTGTATGCACTTTGTACAAAAAACTGGTGCGCAGATTAAGCGGCGGGACGAATTCGTGGCAGAGAACGAGGACGTGGATCACATTGCATATTTTGTTCATCTACATCTCCTCATTTGACATCTCTGCCTCCATGTACATCTCTTCTCTTTCGCTCATCATCCATACCTTTTCATTCACCTCATTATTTCTACATCTCTATCACTCATCCACGTGGCTTTTCCTTTTATTCCATTGCGTTTTTCTATTTTCTGTATCACGTCTCACATGACTAGATCTCTTATCGTTCGCTCAAAACATCTCTTGCTAGTTACTGCAGATCCTTGGCTGGGCATACATTTCACGACTTAACATTAAACGCATTCCTGCGGAGGGAGCTGGTAGGAACGTTGGGTTGCTCGGTCAATGGCCAGGGTCAACGGCGGCGTGGTGTATTCCGCAAATATTCCCGACTGAGGGCGGGCACAAGCCGGCGTGAGTAGGTTAAACGTTGAGTTTTATAAGGGCACCACGGGGTGACCAGCCCCTCCCCACCCAGCCCCACCCAACCCTCCCCACCCAGCCCTCTCCAGCCCTCCCATTTTTGGATGCACGACAGACGGACACAATAATCCCGTGGGCTGGTGGAACCAGGTGGTTCCTACCAGTATGGTGGTAAAACTACGCACACTTCTGTGCCAGTGGATTTTCTGGGACCCACATCAGCGGTTCCTCTTGGCTGAACTCTGACGTCATACCAGGGATCTGAAACCCAACACCCATCCAGAGGCAAGCGTCTCTCAATGGATCCTTCGCCTCACGTCTCCTTTACCCTCCACGTGCCTCCCCCTTCACGTCGCCAGGTTTCCCTGCATGTCCATTCGCCCCGACATTTCTCTTCACATCCACGATTCTCTCAGTCTCCACCTCCCCATGCCACTACCATAACCGACTCGTCCTTCCAGCAGATCCACGTCATTTATTGTTATTTAAAATAAACACACCCAAATGCAAATACGCAAGTGTTGTTAGCGAGCACCTATTAAGATTAGCACAGAACACATGTACACACACACGGGGGGGGGGGGGGGGGGGGGGGACACATGGGAATGCTTGGGGGGGGGGGGGCAGGAAGATTTGGGGCGATTATATACAACACTTGAATGGGGTTGTCATAGTTAATGGAGTTGCTGTAGTTAACGTTCAGGGGTAGACGCAAGGCTGTGGTGATGCCCGGAGGACGGATTAGGCTCGGTGGTCAGATACAAATTGTGTCCTAGTATGCAAGGACACAATTTGTATCCGAACGGTGAATAGTGATCACTGCAGATCTACGCACTGTGGAGAGCAGGGAGGATTAGGAGCGGGGATAATTCTGGCAATATGACTTTAGCGTCCCCTCTATGCTCGAACAGGCGAGGGTCAATGTTGCTAAAAGTTGTTGCCAGTGGGATGTTGGTAAGGGGGGGGGGTTAGCGCAAGCAGTTCTGCGAGAGCTTCCCCGCGTTGCTGCCTCCCAGCTGTTGCTGTATCTTCTTCTTCCGCGACTGGTCCCCCTGGAAGCAGCGCCACAGGCGCAGGCTCTCATCGGCACCGACCGACATCACGGAGGATCCGTCGGGGCTCGCGACAACCTGCAGCACGCGCTCTGTGTGGCCTGCGGGGTATGGAGAGACATGGTGGCGGGGGGGGGGGGAAGACACATGGGGGAGGGAGACACAGGGACACAGGGGTTAGACGTGGATCATGGGGAAGGGATGGGGGACAAGGGAGAGACATGCGCGAGGGAGAAAGACAATTTGGCGGTGTGGTTGTTTGTATCCTTTAATTAACCGGATGAGATAAACCCACGGAGTCGCGTGAAACATCACTGGCTTTCTTTCAAGGACGACCTGGGATATGAACTCATGTTCCGCCATGACCAGTGTCCCCGTGTCCCTATACTAGGTAGTTCTGGATACACAACCAGTGTGCATCCCCCCCCCCCTATGCTCCTGTGCGTCCACCGTCCTCGTATGCTCCCCTATTTTGCCTCGTGTGTCATTTACTCTTTAGCTCGGCGCTGGACATCATGGATGGTTAAACTCTCAAGCAACGTGTACCCCCATTTGTCTCAGTTTTTCCAATGCTCATTATCTCAGGAATAGGCATGTATGTATGATGGACTTCTTTCATACCATATGTAGCCAACCGTGCTAATCAGAGGTGCGGGGAAGGACAAACTAAACACAAAAAGCAGTTCTAAACAAAAAAGCAGTTATAGAGAAATCATGACCAGGCACATTTATATTGTCCCCCCCCACGTTGCCATCTCCACATTTGTCCTTGTGCCTGTGTGCTCGTGTGCCCCCGTACCTAAGAGCTCGGCGATGGGCACCATCGCTGGGTAGACCCACAGTGTGAGCTGGTTCTTAGCGTAGCCGTGGGCGGAGAGTAGCTCCTTGTGTTCGCTCGACCACAAGACGGAGCACACCTGGAGCGGGGGAACGGGTCGTTAACACGCGTCCGCGTCTCTTCGTGCCCGAGACACACACAACGTCCCCAATTCTCGCAGAGCGTCTCCCTCGTGTCTGTGTGTCCATGCCTGAGACTTCGCGTCCACTGCGTTTAAGCAGACCCCCGTGTTGACATTCCACAGGCGAATGTGGTGGTCGTTTGTTCCACCCCCACTCGCCAGCAAACTTGCTTGCCATGGACACCACGCTAGTGCCTGTATACAAACAGACAGACAGACACGAAGAGACAGATAAATATTCTTCATTTAGCCTCTCAGATTGTTGAGGCCAGTGCTAACATCGCACACCTATTAGGTCGAGCACGGCACATCACGCCGGCCGCCTTTGTCTCCCCATTGCTGATGTTCAGACACGGCACCAGGAAGGCATGGAAGGCTGAGTTGACCTAGAGGAGCTCACGACCAATTCAGACATCACCTGCAACCGATGTTAGCCGTGGCCGGGAATCGAACTCGGGATGCCGGGTTTGGAGCGCAGTGCGCTTTGCAATGCACGACTGCTCAAAAGAAGCACAGAGATAGTGTGTCAGTGTGCGTCACGCACTCGGCGTGCACACGTTGCACACTGTGGCTCATGCGGTGGAGTCGGGAGGGCAGGTGATCCATCTTCTAGTTCTAAGCTAACCCATAACACCCTCGGACCTGTCCCAAGATCTCTTGCCAGCAAGCCTTCAACACTTCACATGACCTGCAAAATGCACAAAGGCCATCTGTGCTTTTTATACGTTTCTGCACTATTTTTCTGTTTTGATGGGGTTTTTTTTCAGACGAACACTGCAGTGATGTTTCCACGACTTAGCGGCCGTTATAGCAATTAGCTCGGCACACGTCGGCGAGCGCGTGTGTCAACGTGTCTGTTGTGCCAGCGTGTCACCGCGTGCGTGTCCCTGCCTTGACGGCGGCCGTGTGCTGCTGGAGGGAGTGGAGGGGTGCCGAGGATGTGCTGCCGTTGGCCCACACGAGGAGGTTGTTGTCGTTGCTTCCGCTGGCCAGCAGGCGTCCGCCAGGGGACCACGCCAAGCCGCACACCTCCTGAGAGTGGCCACTCAGCGTGGCGACGTGATGCTGCACCATCCGCACGTCATGGTGGTGGATCTGACCCGAGCGGGACCCACTACAACAACCGCCGCCGCCATGACCACAGAGTTTACAAAAAACCACAACCGCGACGGCCACAACAAGGAACGGCAATGTAGTGTGACGCCACCCGCATCTCGAAGTTGAGAGCCACAACCACCACTACAACACCGGCGTTAACCACCACAACCACAGTGTTCACCACAACAAGTGTGTGGTGTGTGCTCAAGCACTTGCCTTGACAGGAGGTGTCCGTTCCAGGACAGGGAGCTCACACGCCCCGTGTGGCCCTGCATATTCCTTAAACATTTGTTGCGCTCCACGTCCCAGATCTACACGTGCAAACACACACACGGAGACACACACGAGGATAGGTGCGCGCGCGCACACGCATGGGGACAAACACGAGGACGCAGACGCACACGCGAAAATATACAATGGGGAGACAGGCACACATGCTAAACGATATAGACACGTACAAGGACATACAAGTCACGGCACCAATAAAAAGCCCACCTGCTCACTTCCCATAATCCTCTGCTCCCCAACCGGTTACTTGCTCCACACTCCCCTTCCAGAATGCCCTGCTCCTTGAAATATCCCAGAATCCTCTGCTCCAGGCCACTTTCCAGAATGCTGTGCTCATTACCTGCACGGTTTTGAAACTGGTTCCGATGGCGATGATGTTGCCTCCAGTTGGTACCCACGAGACGGACGAAGGGTAATCCTGCCCCTCCATCTGATACGCGGGCAGAGACACAGCGCACAAACACGGCACAGCCTTAACACCTCTCTCACGCTCAAGTTCCCGGTGTGCATGTGCTGCCTCACGGCACCCCGTCTGCTTTTCACAAGAACACAACACTGCCACCCCGTATCCCCATGCATCTATGAATGAGCCTGTTTTCCATTCGTCTATGCGTGTCTGCATTTCAGCGTCTCTGCATGTCTGTGTCGATCCATGCATGTGTTCCAGTATGAGGAGCGGTCGTGTAGTGATTAGCGGGCTGCGTTATAAACCCGGCGACCCAAGTCCGATTTCCGCTCACCATTAACACAAGTGACAATTCTCTGATCCAATCATACGCCTCCCCTAAGCAGACTCAACATCAAATGAGTACCTGGTGCTCATCACCCCATAGGGAGACAAAGGCGGCCAAGCCTGTTGCTAGTCACCTACCCCCTTGTGTGCCATGCCAGTGCTCTCTAATAGCACTTGCCCCCCCAAAAGTATGTTAAGACTACATGGGGGGGATCTTTGTATTTGTGTCCCAGTATCTCTCCACATGCCTTCATGTGCTGGGTCACATTCCCCGTTTCTGCATCCCAGAGATATGTCCCAAAGTGGCCCAGCGCCACACACACGACGTTGTCCACACTCCAGTCCAGCGGGTTTAGGTCTGCGCACATGGGGGTACGGGGTCACAGGTCAGGATAAGGGTTAAAACTTTTAGTTCAGGACCAATTGTGTGTTGTGTATATATATGTATCTATATTACACGTATACATGGGTAAATATGGATTTTATATGATGCCGGTTTTGCAATTCAGGAAAGGTATAGATATAATAACTGGTTAATTACTCGGTTCTCAATCCATGGGTCATGCCCCCGACCGGAGTGAGAACAAGGCCTTAGTTGTGGCGAGGAGGGCGGTGGTGTCGCAGGCTGCAGCGTGGATACTGTGCAGGATAACTTTAGACTGCATGAGGAGAACGTCAGTGCCACATTGTGGCGAAAAAACACTAATATACAATGTGAAGCAAAATGCCAAACTAACACTGTGTTGACTAGTTGCGTGGACGTAATCTCAGTATTGTAGCCTTAGTAATTGGTCAGGGTGGGCACGTGGGGGGACCAGCGGTCTTGATTGTGGGCCACTCGTATCTAAACATTAATTTGCTGCTATAAATTCCCACGTGATAAGCCACTTTGTTGAGCTATCATTTGTGGCCAGGTTGCTGCTGAAAAATAAGTTAATAGCTCAGCGGGCTTTACCTGGTAAGTTTTACTTGTATATATATCAAGTGATTTGTTTACCTTAACTATACATTGCACTCCTTTCGTGTTTGTCATATTGTTTGTTGTTGTAACATTCTGACCAGTCCCTACTGGACATCTGTAAAAAAAACAGCTGTATAGCTCATTGGATTCCTCCAGGATGAATAAATATTTAGATTCTGATGCGAGACATAAATTATGGGCCATATTCTTAGTCACGGATCAGCTCTGGCTTGAGGTGCTGATGTTTCTTTCAAACATCGAAATCCTGAGCATGCTGGGACCATGCTCAGAGTTGGCTAAAGTTAAGCACGCTCCCTTGAGCAAAGGCTGAGCTGAGCATAGCTCTGGTCGAGGGGTTTATTCTGACTGAAAGTAACCATGGATCTATGGTAACGATGATGAGCTATTCACATGTGCCTGCGTATATGTGTATGCACGTGTGTGTGAGTGTGCGCGTAGCTCACAGAAGTCATTGCGGACGGCCGGCGCGTCGAGCACACGCTCGGGCTGCGTGGGTATGTGTCGCTTCTTCTTGAGCAGGGAGAGGGGTGTGTAGCCCTGCTGGGAGTACAGCACCTTCTGTGTGTTGCTGTAGCCTTAGGGGACAACCACAACAATATTAACCACCACAGCAAATGCCATGACCACATTCACCACGAATGCTACGAACACAGCCCTGGAGGGAGTACAGCAACTTGCCTGCGTCAATGTACCAGGGGGAACCACTCACAGCCACATACATAGTTCCCTTCGCCCCCACGTGTCTCCGTCTATCTCTATCCCCCTGTACGCCAGTCTCCCCCATGTCCTTCCCTCCATTTTCCTGTCTCCGCCTTGCCCCAACACCTTTACCGTCCCCATGTCTTGTCTCTCCCACTACGCCCCTGCGTCCCCACCAACACATCAAATCCACTACTCAGCTGCAGATCCCCGTGTCTTCCACCGTCTCTCCGTGTAGCCTGTCTTACCCTCGGGTACAGGTGGCGCGGGTCCCTGGTAGCGTAAGATTCGTGCTTTCTCCACATCCACGCCGCTCAGCAGATGCATCATCGCTGCCTGCTTCTCCTTCACACGGAAAAATAAACATGGAGCAGTGTTCCCTTGTCCCCACCTCCGTTGCTGTAACGGCGTCTCCTGTTCTCCCTTATGTGTCCCCACAGCGTGGAGGAATGAAGCAGACTCGTCAAAACACGAGGCCGATTGCCTGCCACCTCCGAGCATCCTCGTGTGTCCCGTGACCGTCAATGGGGTGAAGACACCGTCACATCTTGAGACTAGGTGGCTTGACCAGATCCATGTGTTTATATGAATCATGACTCTGTGCTTTCCACGTGTCTCTCCATTACAGCGTGTGATCCCGTGTCCGTCTCTGAGACACAAAGTAGCTTGTTACCTCCATGTGTCTATGTTCTGTATACCTAGTGAGTCTTAATGTGTCCATGTGGCGTTTGCTCCCGTGTCCCCGTGTGTCACCGTGCCTTCAGTGGAGATGCTGTTTCTTCTCGAGATACGAGGTAGCTCGCCACCTCCATATTTTTGCTGTTGCGCACGGGGATGAATCGGTCACAGAACTTGCCATGGGGAGTGCGGGGGGCACGACCTGGAGTTTGGGCACACACAGCTGGCATTCATGGCAAATATGTACACGGACCGTAAACACACAGCAAAGTATATACAAAGAGAATACATATATATGGCGATGCGTACACAAGCGTGCATACAGACCACACGCCGCACATTCCACACATTCAAACACCACAATCATCACACACCATATGCACAAAACCACAGACTATAGATGTATATTTAACTTATTTCGCACCGTACGTAGCCACGTCACACTCACCAGGTGAGCTCTTGCCCTTGGCCCCGGGCGTGTTTTGGCACTTGGACGTGGGAGTGCGTCCTGGCGTGCGGCTGCTGCTATTGGCGCGACTAGACCCCTTCATTGGTGACACTGCCATTATGCTGCTGTTGCTGCTGCTGTTGTGGGCGCCAGGGGGGGCTGGCATGCCCAAGCTTCCCACCGTGCTCGTGTTCGCGGACGCCGCCTTGCGCTGCCAACGCGGCTGGGGACCCGAGGAAATGGGGGCATCCAGCTTCAGCAAGTGACTCACGTCACTCTCAAACGAGAACTGCGACATCCTGAGACACGCGAAGACATGCAGCGAGATATTGATACAAGCGGTGATGTAGATCAGCTCTCAAATTTCAGCAGGACATGATCTTTCTCTCAAAGGGCACTCCTGGAACATCATCAGATAGATGGAGACACACAAGGACACAGGCATTACTTATCTCTTAGATAAAAAATTTACATCTTCAGACAGACAAATATGGCGACATAAGAAATCTCAAATAAGAACTCGGATACGTGAGGACAAAGCCCCAGACTAGCGAGGCGAACGATGTCAAGCTACCAAGCGCAGCAGTTGTGTGCAAGTCATCCAACACACAATACATTGTAATTAAAAAAATTCGCAGCCTTTTGTGAAATCATTGTCAGAATAAGGCCTTCTCAGGCTATGTCAGTGATTGTGTTATGTTAACCATACTTCACCATCTTGGTCAGAGTGGGACCAATTAATGAAAGGTGTGCTGGCCAGGTCAGTGTGGTTACCCCACCTGGTTTGGTCAGCTTGGATGCTGGAGGGAATGTAAATACAGATAGAAAGACGCAAGGAGATGTGAATTGTCACTGGTGCACCCCGAGACAAGGGTGCGGTGTCGCCACAACCATTGGCAAGAGAGTCAACCTGGCACCTTCCGCGAGCCGCACTGGCTCGGCACGGCTTGGTTGTGCCAGTCAAAAAAGAGACTGACGTACACTGTGTAGGTGGGGCCGGCTCGGTTTAATAAAATATTTAAAGATACTTTTTTTTAACGCTTTAATGAAATGTACTGTCCGAGCTGCCCCTCCTCCTGCCCCCTTCCCCCATCGCCTTTCCCCTCCTTCCACATCCCCCGCCCCTCGGCGTGGCTCCCCGAGGCTTGCAGTGACGTAAGGGACCGTGGTGATTTACAGGCAACGTGAGTTGAGCGTGGATAATTGGAGCCGTAAAAAAGATTGTTTAAAAATATATTTTTTTAATGATAGAATATCGTGTTGTGATCAGTATGACATACCTATACCAAGTTCGCAGTCGATACGACATTGGGAAGACGGTTGAAATTGAGTTACAAGATTTGAGGATATCACAACAGACAGTGAGTTAATAAAAAACGTGTAAAATGTTAAAAATATATATTTTTAATTTTTAATGATAGAATGTAGTCTTGTCATCAGTATGACATACCTATACCAAGTTTGCAGTCGATACGACATTGGGAAGACGGTTGAAATTGAGTTACAAGATTTGAGGATACAACAGAGTGAGTTAAATAAAAGCGTGTAAAATGTAAAAAAAAAAAATTTGGATTTTTAATGATAGAATATAGTCTTGTCATCAGTATGACATAAGTATACAAAGTTTGCAGTCGATAGCATATTGGGAAGTGGGTAAAAAATTGAGTTACAAGATTTATTGAGGATATAAAATCGTGTAATAAAAAGGGAGGCACGGGGCAATGACGTCACCCGCGTTGGAGCAACACTTCTCTTCCCAGAAGACTTCTTCTTCAAACGTCGAGAAGAGTTACACATCTGATCATAGATCAAAGTGGCCTTTATCCACCCCAAGTCTCCGTAACACGTTTAAATTAAATAACAAAGACTTCGTTCAGAGCCATCGCTACCGGGCGGCCACCGTGCGCGGTTTGATTCAGGACTTGGGCCAGAATCTAAACAAAATATTCCCAGCGGGTGTGGAAACAAGGCAAGCGACATAAACATAGACAGTATATTAGTTTAGTTCATCCTCGAGGGGCAAACACAATTAAACGGTGGGCTCCACCAACACCACTCACCCAAGCTCGTATTTAAAAACACGACCACAACAAAGACACTCGCCGCGTCGCTAGAGACATCCACACATCGCAACCAGGAGCACAAAGACCCCCACCCGTATCGCCTGGACAGACTCTTTATATCGCCTTAACAATACTTTATATCACCTGGACAGACTTTATATCGCCTTAACAATACTTTATATCGCCTTGGCAGACTTTATATCGCCTTAACAATACTTTATATCGCCTTGGCAGACTTTATATCGCCTTAACAATACTTTATATCGCCTTGGCAGACTTTATATCGCCTTAACAATACTTTATATCACCTGGACAGACTCTAAACCGGGTCGACGGGTTAATAGCACTTTCACACAACAGTGGCCACAGCCATCACAACTCCAAACCCACGATCACAATTCTAGATTTGAATTCTAGATTTAAAGCTGTCGTGACTGCAAGGATTCATACGATCACAACCACGCAACGCAATGACATCAGCCGCGATGAAACTACAAGCGAACACACGATAATAACCACCACACGACCACTGCAATAACCACCACACACACAAAAACATCACCACACAATCAGATCAACCACAACACACCACAGCAGCACGATGCCAACCACTGTAACCACCATCATCAGACATCCTCCTCACCTCTCACACGAGACGGATGTGGTGGTGGTGCGCACCTCACGCAGCCCTCTCTCGCCTGTGTCTCTCTCAGGAGAGTGACCGCTCCCCGTGTCTCTCTGTTGTCTCTCAGTCTTGTGCCTCTTGTACTCTGTCTCACTCTGTATCTCTCACTCTGTATCTCTCACTCTGTATCTCTCACTCTGTATCTCTCACTCTGTATCTCTCACTCTGTATCTCTCACTCTGTATCTCTCACTCTGTATCTCTCACTCTGTATCTCTCACTCTGTATCTCTCACTCTGTATCTCTCACTCTGTATCTCTCACTCTGTATCTCTCACTCTGTATCTCTCACGCTGTCTCTGCACTGTGAAGCCCCCACGTGTTCAACGGAAGCGCAGACGCCCCTCTCATAACGGTCGCTTCGCGCTGATTGGCCGCGCATTTTTGAAAACGGCGGCTCTCGATTGGTCAAGGACGCCGAGGACCCCGCCCCGCCCCCTACCACGCCTCGCCCCGCCCCCTACCACGCCCCGCCCCCACCACACCCTCGCCCCGCTCCCACCACGCCCCCGCCCCGCCCCCACCACGCCCCCGCCCCCATTACGCCCCCGCCCCCCTTACAACCCCGCCCCCACCACACCCCGCCCCCCGCCCCGCCCCCACCACGCCCCCGCCCCGCCCCCTACCAAGCCCCCGCCCCGCCCCCCGCCTGGTTTAGGCGGCCACGGAGACCGCCTGACGCGAGCAGCGGTCGCCGGGGCAACCGCCGGCGTCGCGGTTTCTTAGGCTTCAGTTTAACACGGGGGAGGTTTCTTCTTGGTTCTTTCGGTGAAGTCACGTAGAAGGGAAATAATAAAATAATACAAATAAAACATAAAAAAAAAATTCTCACGACGTTTCGGCGACAGACCTGGTCTTCACCTGAGGACGGCTGCTTGCGTTGTGGCCGAAACGTCGTGAGAATTATTTTATTATGTTTTATTTTTATTATTTTATTACTTCCCTTCTACGTGACTTTACCGAAAGAACCAAGAAGATGAATCCCTGCAGTCACGAAAGCTTTAAAACGGGGGAGGTTGTCACCTCCAATATCATCCCTAACACACTGTACAGGTCGCGTAAATGTATAAAGTGTCGTGAAGCCCGCCACCACCCGACACAGGCAATTAGTAAGGGTTCTAGATTTGAAGCTTTCGTGACTGCAAGGATTCATATTCTTAGGTTTTTTCGGTAAAGTCACGTAGGTAAAACATCAAAATTAATAAAAGTAAAATAAAATAAAAATCACGACGTTTCGGAAACTTGTGTTGCCTCCGAAACGTCGTGATTTTTTATTTTATTTTACTTTTATTAATTTTAATGTTTTACCTACGTGACTTTACCGAAAAAACTAAGAATTAGTAAGAGTTGTCACGTAAACAGTCTGCTAAGGCGATACGCGGGGTTCTTTGGTGTTGAGGTTTAGTTTTTGTTAACAGGACAATTTATCTTCTTGGTTCTATCGGTAAAGTCACGTAGAAGGGAAATAATAAAATAATAAAAATTTAAACATAATAAAATACAGGACAATTTAGTTCTAGATTTGAGGTAGATTTGAAGAAACCAAGGGGTACAATTTAGCTCGTATACCGAAATGTAAATCTATCGTGGGGCCGGCTGTGTGAGAATAATGAGAACGCCGTTCCCAGCTCTCGGCCGCCTTTGTCTCTCCCATCCGCCGACATTCCTCCTCTTCGCCACGTGCAGAACGAACAGCAGAGACTCAGGTGACCCCCCCCCCGCCGCCTCCATCAACCTGCACACACATCCAGCGAAGTGAGAGGCCGCAAAGGTATTTAAATTATCCCACAATGCACTGGGGCTAAAAATAACTAGACTGAAGTTAAAGAAGTATGCTCAATAAGCACGTTTTAGACGCGATAACTGTAATTATCTTTGCAAAAATGAGAATATTGTTAGTTTCCACTGTGTATGAGCACCATTGTTAGTATTTTTTTTTAATATACTTAAACACTATTTTTTGGGACCCATAGCGTAAAGAGTGCGGTATAGTGGTGCTATAAATAGCCTTCGCGATACAAAGGTAGTATGTTATTCCCCTTATTTCCCTTCTACGTGACTTTACCGAAATATCCAAGAATATTCCTGTACCTAATGGCAAAATAGCGTTGCTGAATGTATTTGCGAATGATACACTAAGTGTCTTTCGGATTTCCACTGGTTGGCATTACACAGATTTGGGGGCTGGCGAGGAAGTACAGCAAGTAGGTTCCCGTACCTGTCTGTGCAGATCTTTGAGCCTTAGACTCATGTTTGTGGTTTTCCTAGCAACGTTGGGTTCTCCTTGAATGCAAAACTCCACTGTGGTCCTCCCTCAAACATATACATTCTTTGGTGCCACTGCGTTGGCCCGTGCTCGAAACGTCGCATAATTATTACTTTTCCTACGTGCTGAATGACCAAATGTGCAAATAAGAACGGCTTTGACCCGTCAGAAAATTCAAACTGCCTCTGACCCAGAACATCTTTGTGCCATCCATGAAGGCACCTCCAGAGTGCCCACCTGTTCTATCCCACAATGCACTCGGGCATAAAACATGCATGTGAATCCCAACAAATATGTGCTCAATAAACACACTTCTTTAACGTAAAATACAATTAAAGTTGCAATGACATATCTATAATATTAGAATATAATGTTTCATGAGTATTACTACCAACACGTTGCTCTTTTTAAAGACTAGAACATCTTTTACAGGCCCCATGGTGAAAAGGATGTCAGTACCCTGGTGTTACAAATACCCGTCGCGACACTAGTGTGTTCTCTACTTGCTCCGGCAGTACATATACTAAAATTGGAACGATACAGAGAAGATTAGCATGGCCCCTGCGCAAGGATGACACGCAAATTCGTGAAGCGTTCCATATTTTTCACCTTTTAATTCACATTCCTGGACGGCTGCTTGTGTTGCGGCCGAGACGTCGTGAGAATGTTATTATGTTTAATATTTATTATTTTATTATTTCCCTTCTACGTGACTTTACCGAAAGATCCAAGAATATTCCTGTACCTAATGGCAAACAAGCGTTGCTCAATTTATTTGCTTACACGAATGATACACTAAGTGTCTTCAGGATTTCAGCTGGTTGGCATTACACAGATCCGGGGGCTGGTGAGGAAGTACAGCAAGTAGGTTCCCGTACCTGTCTGTGCAGATATTTGAGCCTTAGACTGATGTTTGTGGTTTTCCTGCCACGTTGGTTTCTCCTTGAATGCAAAACTCCATTGTGGTCCTCCCTCAAATATATACATTCTTTGGTGCCACTGCGTTGGCCCGTGCTCGAAACGTCGCATATTTATTACTTTTCCTACGTGCTGAATGACCAAATGTGCAAATAAGAACGGCTTTGACCCGTCAGAAAATTCAAACTGCCTCTGACCCAGGACATCTTTGTGCCATCCATGAAGGCACCTCCAGAGTGCCCACCTGTTCTATCCCACAATGCACTCGGGCATAAAACATGCAAGTGAATCCCAACAAATATGTGCTCAATAAACACACTTCTTTAACGTAAAATACAATTAAAGTTGCAATAACATATCTATAATATTAGAATATAATGTTTCGTGAGTATTACTGCCAACACGTTGCTCTTTTCAAACAATAGAACATAATTTACAGGCCCCATGGTGAAAAGTATGTTAGTACCCTCGTGTTACAAATACCCGTCGCGACACTAGTGTGTTCTGTACTTGCTCCGGCAGTACATATACTAAAATTGGAACGATACAGAGAAGATTAGCATGGCCCCTGCGCAAGGATGACACGCAAATTCGTGAAGCGTTCCATATTTTTCACCCTTTAATTCACATTCCTGGACGGCTACTTGTGATGTGGCCGAAACGTCGTGAGAATTTTATAATGTTGAATTTGTATTATTTTATTATTTCCCTTCTATGTGACTTCACCGAAAGATCCAAGAATATTCCTGTACCTAATGGCAAACAAGCGTTGCTCAATTTATTTGCTTACACGAATGATACACTAAGTGTCTTCAGGATTTCAGCTGGTTGGCATTACACAGATCTGGGGGCTGGCGAGGAAGTACAACAAGTAGGTTCCCGTACCTGTCTGTACAGATCTTTGAGCGTTAGACTCATGTTTGTGGTTTTCCTAGCAACGTTGGTTTCTGCTTGAATGCAAAACTCCACTGTGGTCCTCCCTCAAATATATACATTATTTGGTGACACTGCGTTGGCCCGTGCTCGAAACGTCGCATATATATTACTTTTCCTACGTGCTCAATGTACAAATCTGCAAATAAGAACGGCTTTGACCCGTCAGTAAATTCAAACTGCCTCTGACCCAGGACATCTTTGTGCCATCCATGAAGGCACCTCCAGAGTGCCCACCTATTCTATCCCACAATGCACTCGGGCATAAAACATGCAAGTGAATCCCAACAAATATGTGCTCAATAAACACACTTCTTTAACGTAAAATACACATCTACATATCTATAATATTAGAATATAATGTTTCGTGAGTATTACAGCCAACACGTTGCTCTTCTTAAACACTAGAACATCTTTTACAGGCCCCATGGTGAAAAGGATATCAGTACCCTGGTGTTACAAATACCCGTCGCGACACGAGTGTGTTCTGTACTTGCTCCGGCAGTACATATACTAAAATTGGAACGATACAGAGAAGATTAGCATGGCCCCTGCGCAAGGATGACACGCAAATTCGTGAAGCGTTCCATATTTTTCACCTTTTAATTCACATTCCTGGACGGCTGCTTGTGTTGCGGCCGAGACGTCGTGAGAATGTTATTATGTTTAATATTTATTATTTTATTATTTCCCTTCTACGTGACTTTACCGAAAGATCCAAGAATATTCCTGTACCTAATGGCAAACAAGCGTTGCTCAATTTATTTGCTTACACGAATGATACACTAAGTGTCTTCAGGATTTCAGCTGGTTGGCATTACACAGATCCGGGGGCTGGTGAGGAAGTACAGCAAGTAGGTTCCCGTACCTGTCTGTGCAGATCTTTGAGCCTTAGACTGATGTTTGTGGTTTTCCTGCCACGTTGGTTTCTCCTTGAATGCAAAACTCCACTGTGGTCCTCCCTCAAATATATACATTCTTTGGTGACACTGCGTTGGCCCGTGCTCGAAACGTCGCATATTTATTACTTTTCATACGTGCTGAATATACAAATGTGCAAATAAGAACGGCTTTGACCCGTCAGTAAATTCAAACTGCCTCTGACCCAGGACATCTTTGTGCCATCCATGAAGGCACCTCCAGAGTGCCCACCTGTTCGATCCCACAATACACTCGGGCATAAAACATGCATGTGCATCCCAACAAA